TTTAATTAGGTTCTAAACTGGATTTGAGAATATCAGTATAAATATATTAACTTTCTCCAGGAATTGGAGTTGAGATAAACAGAGTCACCATAATGCAAGAAATACATGGTTAAAAATAGAGATTATGACTCTCTCTTACGTCTGTATCTTGAGTCCTGGCACAGATCAGTGTGTTTAAGATTTTAGCTACAGCCATTTGGGTCAAGTCTTTGAAAATCTGTTTAGAATTTAAATTTTAGATATTTTTTCCAAATGAGGAAAATCAGGATCAGACGCACTTGAAATAAGATTTCCTCTTATCTCTCCTGGAGCACTGAAGCGCAGCACAGGGCAGCTTTCTGGGCATGCAGGTGTTGGCAAAGACAAATCATTTAAAAAGTAAATTAATTTTAAATGGCCCTGAAAGAAATAGAAGAAATTCTGAATACCCCCAATGAAAGTAGAAACTTTTATATTTCCCAGCCTGTCCCCATAGCAGATGTGCTCCAGCCCTTGGAACATCTTCATGGCCTCCTCTGGACTCGTTCCTTTTGCACTGGTTGCAGAGCACTTGGGGAATAAAGAGCTTAACTTGATTCCTGCAAGCCTTAAAGATGTGCTGTAACTTCTGCTCAGCCTTCCTTACGGGGCACATAGAAGAACATGGGTGATCCTTAAAGGACAGGTTTCAGGGTGATGAGTGTATCAAAACTGAAAAGTACACAGATTTTTTTTTTTTTAAATGAGGTGGGAAGAGCATGACAGTTTTTGAATAGTGTCGTAGTATGCTGCTTTTAATGTTTTCAATAGATCTCTTCAGTGTAGCTATGAATGTGGTGTAATGGACCAGATCTGTTGCTGTGTCCCTGGGATTCCTGACGCCCTCATGGGTAAATCACTGGAGCGCAAGAGGAGGCTGCACTCAAACCTCGTCTTCAGGGTTGGGGAACACTTTCAAATTAATTCCCTGATGCCAGGCCTGGGCTGTATGCTGGGGAAGTCTGAGCCTGGTGGCAGTCTGCTCTGCCTTGGGTAGATACCTGGGCTGGAAGGTGTCTCTGAGGTGGGCTGGACTGTTAGTGGCACAAGGAGCAGCAGGTGTAGGTGAGTCTAGGCATCCTTGCATTTGACATGCAGCAGTGCTCCCCTGTCTTCTGGAAGGTTATCAGCTGTTACATGCCTGTCTGTCTGTCTGGTTTCTTGAGTCTTGTCTCCTACCCAGTAATCTTTCCAAGTTGAATGAGTGGAGTGGTTGGTTCTCAGCACAGTGCTTTGGTACACACAGGAGATTATTTAATAACTGTGACAGCTTTGTAGTGTTTTGTTCTGGCCGGTAGTAGTAACAGATGCATTGCATTGTCTCCCTGAATCGAATTAGTAACAATAATATTTTTCTTCAACTGTGTTTCTGGAACCAATTTGACTACTTTCCCTTCCTCTTCTCCTTCTACTAGGACATCCCAGAGAGCGCTCTGCCCTGCATGCTACCAGTTGTCTCCTGTTTGCCTACTTGTGCTGCCTGTATTCCCATGTTTTGGGAATTGATTTGTGTGAGATTACTTTAATATAGAGACTAAAATAATTTATGAGAGAGCCAAAATCTTGGGCAGCTTTTCTACATGAGCCTCTCATGCTAAAAGCCAAAAGCTCAGATGTAAAATTCCCTAAGCCACTTGATTAATTTCCTTGGTATCTTCAATTTCAAAGCCATTTAGGAAGATCATTTGCACAAACATAAAAGTTCTCTTTAGTTAAAGTCAACCAATGTGGTTTTTTTCAATGAGCTAGAGCTCATAAGAAAGATTCAAACATTAACTGTGTAAAGAAGGCAATCGGTGTTTGTACAATATATTGAAAATGAGCCTGAGGCATACTGGAAAAATACATGTTTTACACATGTATGTTTTTCATCCAATTCCATAATTTGTATTAGATCTGGACATAGATACTCCTAAAGGCTGCCAGATTAACTCAGACTGTGGAAGAGGTTATGATTGTCTATAAAAAGGGTTTTTTTAAACTATAATGTAGTTGGTTTTACTCTGTATATTTTAAAGACTCAAAGGAAAAGCCTTTTCTACTGCTGTAGTATGTCAGGGAAGCTTATCTGCACATAAACAGCGAAAGGAGACCTCTCTTGTGTTACATGGCCTCAACTTTTGTAGCTTAAAAGTTGCGCATTTCTAAAAATACACTAATTATGTCACTCTGATAAAAGGAGATAGCCCTCACTTTGTCACCGAGTGATACTTTCCATGGATTTTAAAGCTGTCTTCGGAGTAGGAAAAAAGCTGTCATAGGAATCAGTGGAAAGCTTTTATTTTAATATCTGTTGGGAGGTCCAGTTGCAGGGAGCAACTGCCACATTATCTGTCTTAAAGATTGCGCATCCATTATCGTGAGTGTTTTGCCCAGAGTTTGATAGGAATTAAGGTCAAGAGAAGGACCATTTTCCTGAAGGGGGAGAAACAGGAGTTGATGCAACCATGCATAGAATACCAGTTAAAAACCTGGGAGCATTTCTGAAAATAGGAGTATGCCCATAGTCTAAAGGAAAATACTACTTTTTTTACCATACTCATTTAGCATTTGACTCTAATGAGACAGAGCACAAACCAAGAGAAATGGTCTGTGAGGCTCCGGTGCTATGATGAGGCCAAAAGCACTCTCTGCAGGGACTGTATTAAAGTATTTGGTGTTTATATGGATTATTCTGGTGTATACACGTTGAAACTTTTCAGGAAGACTAGCTGAACCTTTTGTTTGTTTCCACAGGAGAATTTACTCGAGTGAAAGTCAGTGTGGGAGCTTAGATGCAGGAGCGTAACGACCTGCCTTGACATGTAGAACAGAGCATATGGTTTTGCTAATAGGCTAATAAGAGCAATTAACCTTATAGTGCACTCGTTTGTTGCTCTCAGTTGTTTATAAACTAGGTAATAAAGATATTTAAACATCCTATGGCTTTATAGGAGACTAGTGAAATCAGGCTGTATTTTTCAAGCTAATGCCTAACTACTCAGGTGACAGCAAAAATGGTGGAAACATAACATTAGCAGAGAATAAAACATTCACAATACTACGTGGTGTGTCTAACCAATAAATATAATCACAAATGTGTAAATACATAGTTTCATTAGAAGAGGAACTGTTTTCACAGGATGCAATCACGGGTTTGTCATTGAGCTTGTTCTTGTCACTTTGCAAAGATTGTGATGTTAACTGTTTCCAGGCTTATTTAACGCAAAAGAGAATTTTAAACTTACCTTTTTCTTCGAGATGTGCCAAGAGACAGTGTTTCTTACAACATCGTCCATGTAATTGTTCAGAAGGATGAACCTCATACAAGAATGACTTTCTTTCAACAGCAAGCACCGTCATTGCCATTGAGCTTTTATTTCTTTATTTTTAAGGACTTCTGGGAGTGAAGTCACTTCCTGGAGAAGTCACAGTTTCTCATTTGGGAGCTGCTGCATTTGCCTGGTAACCAGAGAAATTGAGTACAAATGAGCAAGTATCTTGCCCCACAAGACAAGCCCTTTTCACGTCATTCTCTCGGCTCCTGGTGTTACAGGTGCTGCACTTCTGACAGTCGTTGTCCCGTTGGGCACCTTGCTGTGAAAGCAAGTGGCACCAAGGGTTGCATGACCTTTATTTTGCCACTACTTTGGTTTCTAGATGGAAGAAGTATGAATTCCCTGTAATAATTTTTTTTTTTGTATCTGTGACTTTTGGCAGTCAGCTTTTGGGCTCCTGCTTTTGCTCAGTGTTTGTTCTGCAAACTTTTGCCTATTTATTGACAGTGTCCCAGGAGAGACCTCTAAATCAGTTCATTTCAGCATGTAAACTAATACGTTGTGGTTATTAGTGTTTTGTCTGTCCTTCCTGGTTTACTGTTATTTGTCTGATTTTGACCTTATATGTTGGTTTGCAGACATTTTTATTGAATTTAACTAGTGATAACACTAGTGAGTTATTGCTGCTGTTTCTTTATCCTGAATTTGAAAGTTAAGACAATATTTTTGTTCTTTTGGGTTTTATGTAGTGACTTCCATCAAACCCTTCTGTACAAATTTGTCATCTTGTTTTTTTTTTTCCATTTCATTGAATTGACTGAACAATGTATTTGCTGGTGCAGCATTCACCAAATATGAGGACTCTTTTGCTTTATTAGACTTGACAGCGTTTAAACAATACTAATTCTCATGCCCAGCTGGCTTTTCAATTTATGTCTGTGCTCTCTGTTGCTCTGTAAAACAAGCTGGAACATTAAAGACAACTCGCTTGCTACCCTCTGGAGATTTGTTTTTCTTTAGAGAAAAATCAAATAAGTGTAAAATTTTCTCGTTTTTCTCCTCATATGTTTTCTTCTGAATCTTTAAATGATATTTCAGTGTACTGAAAAACAAATTTTCTCTGCTCTAGAGCAGTTGTCTGTGATGGGCTTCGGCCACTGCTGAGGTGACCGTTGTAGCACATCTCTCCTTCCAGTCCTTTAGAGCCCGCTTAATTTCATGTGAATTTCTGTGTATTGTGAAGTATCAACTTTCTGAAACCCAAACGTGATTCTTCCTCTGCTCCACCTCCTCAAATACTCAGGTAGCCCAGCAGGCTACCTGGGAAAGATTTGTGGTGCGCAGTCCTCATGAGTCAAACGAAGGCAATGACCTCTCATAAAGGGCTGCTCAAAGCTGAGGAGTGGGACTTGAGTTTTAACTTCAGTGAATCAGTACTTTCTGATGAAAATTTATAACACTCTTGGCCATAATGTCTTCCTATATTCTTTTCACTTTTTTCACGGAAGCCAGGTAGCAAGACATCCCTTGTGTTCTTTTTTGCCAAAATATTTTGTACAAAATATGTGCCGATATCTGTTTCGCACAATGTCGGTGACACTCCACGCTGTGTGTACAAAGAGTCATTGGAGTCATTGTATGAGATACTTCATGAATAATGAACACTTTGATCACACAGTAGTTCATTTAAGCTTTTCTTTGTTTTTTTTTTTAAATTTACTACAGCTGGTCTGAAAACCCAGAAGAATGGAAGTTTCAGAAGGCAAGACAAACCTGGCTTCTTGTGCACATGTATGATAAAGAGAAGGTTCGTATTGATACTGGTTTTTCTTAGAACAAACACAACATAAAGTTTTACATGTTAGTTGTTGCTATGCTTCATGAACCAACAGTTGGTAGTACTAGCCATGCACTTTTCTAATAATTTTTTAATAATTTATAAGCCAATTACTTGTCTTTTAACCAAATGCTGAATCATTTTAATTACTTGTAATTAATCTTTTTATTTTGTTGGTGGTCATCTTCCTGTGCATGCTAGATTTTTATACTTGATATATGTTAAGCAAGTATAGAGCAGATCTGTGTTTTATATAAATCTGCAGCTTACTGAGAATTTGAGTCCTATTCGTAATTTGAACTTCTGAACGTGGAACCCAGCACTGTAAACCACGATTCTCATTGCTTCAGATATCTCTGGCTTCACATGAGATGTACAGCCATATTTCCAAGATGTTAAAATAGCTTTCTCATTAAAATATAAGTGAAACCTGATGTTGATTGTAAAAAGCATAAAGTATAACCAGAAGCTGGGCTTGCATCATTCCTGAAATCCATTCATTTTATAACTTAAAAACCAACACAGGTTGAATTTCCAGTCAGCATCTGACCATGGTGGCACTGAATGGGGGTTGCAGGTCATTCATTTTGTTGTGTAACAGAACAAACATCTGGCCGTTTGCACAGTGCCTTACCTGCTGATTCATTTAGTTGACATTCAGTTAGTTTTTGCTCATTTTTTGAGCGCGTGTAAACATTGAAGCATAACAATCTTCCTGACCCAAATTACTCAGCAGCTCTAAAGCCAATCACCTGACATAGGGTGTTACCTTTAGGATTAAAAATACTTTTAGAGAACCAGGTAATTAGAAGCAGAGTTTCATGAAGGCAAAAATGTTCACGTAGTGTAATATGTGAAAAGGTTAGTTGCAGAATACAAATCTGAATGTAGGTTGTTTGCACTGTCTTCTATTTTTAAGTTTCTCCTTTAAAAGTCTCTGTCAACCTTTCATAATCAATATATGCTCTTTAAAGCTACCTAGAAATTGTTTTACAGGCAGCATGATGTTTTTACTTTTTAACCTGTTTACTTTGGGTTTTGTGTTGAAATATACTGGGAAATAATTAACTGTAAGTAACATTTGTTTTACATATCAAAACACAGCTTAACTCCTGATTTCTCAACACTGAAATCAAACTTACTTTCTATTTTTTTTTAAATCTGATGGAAGTGCTATGATATATTTAAATTCACATATTTTGTAGCTTAATAATCAGAGATGCATTGAATGTGAGCTTTAGACAATGATTAACATCTGCATCCAGGTTCAGTAAAGTTAGTAGACCTGCTCAAGTGCCTATAATTAAGCATGTGATGAAGTCTCCGTTCTTCATCAGGACTGTAGGGAGGGCAGATCATCTCCTTTTGAAAACTTCTTATACCCAAATTCAACCTCCTGTCCATTACAGAATAAATCTGTTGGATATCCAAGCATGACTAAAACGCAGAAGGATACATGAGTTCCTTCGGAAGCACATCTTTAATCTCAAGGTGTCTCCAGGATGCCTACTGAAAAGCCATGCAAAGGAGTCAGTAGGCCCCTTTCTGTGAGAAATAAGTTGATCTTTTAAAGTCCTTTGCAATATGAGGGTTTTTTTAAGTCTCTTTAAAATCCATCCGGAGGTTGGCTGACAGCTTCCAAGCCAAACCTGTGTACCTACAGTGTACATACTCCTTCAGGATCCAGTAGAAAATACACACTGGATCACTTGTGGATCTTTGTCACCTGGCACAGCATTTTTAGAAAGTGACTCTATCAGCTGTCTTCACCTTCTGGCCTGCAAGGCCCTGGCAGGGTTTCTGAAGCTTCCTCAGAAGGTAACTGGGAAAGGCAGGCTTGGCAGCAGTGAGCTGGAGTTCTCTGGGCCCATACCGGATTTGCTTTGCAAAATATGTCAGCATCTGCAAGTCTAAAAACTCTTGAGATACACAGTATAATTTAAATGTGATAACCGTTCTTTTCCCACTACTGTTTTGTAGTGTTTCCCCCTTTTCCCCATGACAGTGGTTATTTCACTTTGGGGTATTTCCATATTAGCCAGCTCCAGTGCGTATTAGCTAGTTAGAACAGAGGCAGGGTTAGTGTGTGAGGGAGAAAAAGAAACAAGAAAAAGGTCAAAACAGTGTAACGCAGTAATAATAATAAAATCCCGTAAGCATCGCTTCCACGTGCCAAGAGTCGTGGTGGGAGATCTTGGTATCTAATTTCAAGCCAGCCCAAAAGCTGACCTTAGGAGAAGGATTGTGTTCCTTCTTGTAAAACCTGACCAAGAGTCCCTGTAATTTCAGCTCCTGTAGGACTGTATTTGAAGAATTAAAACTGGGATGTCATTAACTTTTTGCTGGCACCTCATGTCCTTGCTACGGCTCTATCGCATGTGTAAGTTAGGAGGAACTGCGGTGTTACCTTGCCTACGTGGTACTGCGCTGTAAGCTCTTGCTGAAATAAACCTAAGAGCTGTGTTAAAGAATAAAATCAGACTTCATGAGCACTTGAGCACTTACTCTTAGGGCCAAATGCTAAATGTTTTCTACGCTTCAGGCAGCCACATGTCTGTCTGCACACTTAGTATTTCGAACTTCAGAGTAGGATTTTAATTGCTCCTTCAAGTACTTCACTTAAATGATGTAATAATGATTGCCATTCCACAGAGTGAGGTATGACTGTACCAGGAGGTCTGAGAACAGGAGGTGTAAATTATGGAGATAATTGGGCTAAGGTTTGAAACACAGAAATGCTGCTGAGCTTTAAAAACACAGTACTGAGCATCTGCATTAAAGGAGCACTGTCATACTGAAATTGTCTGTGTCTGAATGTTTTTGTGTGTTATTAGTATCAGTTTACTGGGAGTAAAAAGGTTTCAAAAAATACAGACATTTTTCGTTACGTTTAAATGTTTTTGATTCATATTTTATAGCAACACTTTGTACATCATCCATTTCGGTGTTAGTCACTGTAAAATTCATAATTTTTTTTTGGTTATCTATATTGGTTTTTTAATTCAAGAGTGTTGTGTGAAGAATTAGAAGGTTTTCCATGGCATACACGTTATGGGGCTGAATACAGATGCTAGTTTAGATTTATTACTCTGTAATATCGCTGATTGATGAAGGCAGTGTTGGAATATTCTTTCTTCCTCTTCTTTTGGAGTGATAGAAGTTTTAATGATCAAAGTTACGCTGCCAAATGTTGATGGAGAAATGTTGTAAATTAAGTATCTGTTGAAGCTCTGCCTTCTCTGAAATGTTGATACTTTGCAGAATTGAAACAGCCCTTGAATAATTAGTCTTTTAAATACTTACGTATGTGTTTAACTTGACTCATGGCGAGTATGCCTTTTAAAGTTATATGTGTTAAGTTAAACATGGAGAAAAATATTTGCAGGATTAGGTCATCTTGATGTCTCCTGATTCACTGCACAAATATTCTCTTATTGGCCAAAACCTGTTCCACAGATACACAACATGAAGTTAAGATAGGCTTCCGTGTAGCTCTCTTCATCTAATACTTTTGAAAATGCATTGGCTTGAATTACTGAATAAGTCATTTGAAAGTCTTTGCTAGGTTATTGCCAAGGTTGTTGGCTGTAACGATCACTAAAACTGTATGTTGTACCAGATAAGCGAAAATTTAACCCATGACTGGTTAATTAGAAAGGGAGTGAAATGGGGGTAATGTGACTGTAGATGACTAAACTGCTTTTAATGTCAGACGTGTTAGCAGAGCCTATCAGTTTTAGTCAGCATGATTTAAAAATTATTTCCACATGTCTGAATTCAATTTGGTTTTCAAATTAAATTCGATTCCTTTGTATAAGCATTCTGCCAAAGAGCCTGATGGTGGGTGGTATCTCGTCTTAGCAAACAAATAATTTTGGGTACAGGCGAGTGTAATTCCAGCCAAATTCTTTCCTCCAACACGTGCACGCAGTTCTCACTGCACTTAGTAAGGTTTCCATACGTATTCGCAAAGTGTGATTTGGCTAGTGGGTTTTTTTTTTTAATTCCAACCCTCACAGCCTTGAGCTCACTGTCAGGGAGTGTTTGCATTTACTGATCAGCATTTCCACATCTGCTTAGAATTTCCTCTCAGATGCTTTGCCCATCTGAGCACATGACAGCCCTCTCACCACCCTCCGTCCCTCCCGGCAGCTTGAACCTTGCCAAGAAATGCTTCCACTCGGAGGTGGGCACTGGCAAACGCAAGAGCCCGTGCAGTTCTCCCAATTGGCTTTCAGGTGATGGCTTGACACGCTTGTGAATAAGTACTGAGAGAGAAGAAAATAAAGCAGGGGTTTTTCTCCCTTGTTTGTTTGTTTTCTTTAAAGGTTCCAGACAAGTATTTCACCATTTTACTGGATTATCTGCAAGGGCTTCAGGGCGGCGCGCGAGACATAACCGTGCAGAAAGCTGAAGCTTTTATGAAGGAGTTTGATCGTTCCGACGGAGAAGACCCAAACCTGCTGGAGAAGTGCGAGCGCATACGACAAGTTCTGCAACTGCTGTCCTGAGAGTACTCTTGTGTCTTAGTGGTTGTCTGGTGGAGAGAGGGGTGGGATGTATACAGAGAATATAAGTTCTAAAGACATATTTTCTAAGAAGAATCCCAATAGTCAATTTTCAGATTTTGTACTCGTATTTTTTTCCGATTACAAATATTTATCATGTTCTGAGGTGATGAAATAAAAATAATTGGTCCATAGACACGCTATTAAAAGGACTCTTACTGCATATCTTTAGATAAATAAACCTCTCTTTCTTGTTAGTTTTTCTCCACCTCCTCCTGGGTAATTACTGTTAAAAAAGAGGAACTTTGCAGTTCTTAATAAGAGCAGCAAAGGAACCAACAAAAAGCCTGGAGGGTCTTGTACAATGGCAGCTTTTAAAATGAGCATACAGTACAGTGCTTGCTCAGCCAGCTGTAATCTATCACTTTTGGCTTTAGAAGTATGTCATTTGGATTTGGGAAAGATCATTTTCAGTCTGTTGGACACGGGTTGTATAACACAGTTGCTTATTAGTACTTCACACAGTGATCTGGAGATACCATCAGCTTTGTTAGTTTTCCTTTTATATTTTAAAGTCTTCAAAAGCATTATGGCAATTGTTTAGATATTTGGATAATGCACAGATGGGAACAGATCAAATCCTTCGACTGTATTTAGTGAAATCATCTGATTGTACCTAAACTTACCCTACGAAGTGCTGTGCCGCAACGTTTTGTATCCAGCCCGCCAATATTGCATTTTCATCTTTCTCTTGTAATTGGCGTACAAAAGAGGTAATTTGTGTTCATTCACGTTGCCGTGGGACGTTTGTCTTCTGTGAATGTGCTGAAAATCAGGCTTTCAAGTAAAAACCAAGGACATTAATTACTCAGAAGTTGGATGATTGGCTTATTTAATAACGCATGTATTCTGACAGCGTTCTTGACCTGATTCTTTAATGTTTGTGCAAACGTTGTTCATACTTTATTAATAACAACTGCATGAAATGTGTCGTGTTATGGAAGAGTGGCTGTCTTTGGGAATTATGGCTTTAATTTCGGTGGGTGAAGGAGAGGAGGATCTATGGATATGCAGGCCTAATTTTTCAATAAGAAGCATTTGAGTGGATTTGACAGCCTTCAAAGTCATGGATTACTACAAATCTTTCAAGGTATGAAATATATTAATAGTAACAAATAAGTTAGGCTTTCTGACTTCTTAAAGATGATGTTTTCAGCCAAAAACCGGCACGCCCTGCTCCAACACAATAACTGTGATGGAGTTAACGCAGCAGTGAGCAGAATTCAGCAGTGGCCAGCCTCTCCGCTGAGCTGCCGAGGGTTCGTCAGCAGCTCGGGTGCTGTTGCTGTGCCACGGGGCGACGGTTGGGTGGGGGCTGCAGGGGAGGTGTGCTGTGTCAAAGCCTTTCCAGTCGTCCAGGGTAAAAGTTGGTGAAAAGGGTCTGTAATAAAAAGAAGTGATACTGACATTTAGTGAACTTGTAGAAGATCATTGGATCTTATACTTCATGTCTTCCCCATCCCTGGGAGTGTCCAAGGCCAGACTGGACGAGGCTTGGAGCAACCTGGTCTAGTGGAAGGTGTCCCTGCCCATGGCAGGGGGGTTGGAACTGGATGGTCTTTAAGGTCCCTTCCAACCCAAAGCGTTCTGTGATTCAAAGCTCGATACGGACTATTTTAAGTGTTATGCTTGATGTTGTAGTGCAGATAGGAAAGGACATTTAATTACATTTCACTTTTTTACTTTGCCCCTTTTCTTAAAGAATCTTCAACTGGTTGGCAAACAAGTAATCTTCAAAACACGCATGAAATGCAAAACTGAATTTTTGGGAGACACGTGTTGCTAGGCTGGTTTTAAAGACAAGATTGTTACTCCAAACAGCATACAAATGCAGTAACATCTCTGGCATTCAAATTCTGTCTTTTCTGTATGCTAGCCACCAGACCAGCTGCTGCTTCCTGCTCAGCCTGGCATTTTAATCTAGGGATTTACATTGCGTGATGAATAAGTATAGCAGGATTTCCTCCATCATGTATTTTAAATGATGTATTTTAAATTATTAAAATATGCATAACTGATAAATAATTATCAGTTATTGCATTCCTGTAGCTGGTCAAGGCTGTACCAGAAGGTCTAATCTGGCCCTTTGTTTTGTCATTTGGTCACGTAGAATTTTCAAATCTCAACATCGCTTGTAGCTTAGGCAATCATATGGATACAGATAGGACAGAATAGTGTCTCTGCCTCCTTTACAATCCATCTACTGCGTTAATAAAAATTGCATCTAAGGCTGGAAGGAACAGTATGTACAGGCTGGCAAATTACATCTTCATCTGCCTACTCTAATTGTCTTCTAGTTGAGTTAATCTGTGCTGTGCAGCTCTGGCTAGAAGAATTTGTATCCTGAGAGAATGCTGAAGTCAGGACTTCTAGGCAAAATAAAGGAACATTAATTACATAGAATTGCTCAAAGCTGGAACTGTGCCGCTAATGGAAGTACTGGTTACTCGAGATTTGACAGTGTCAGAAGTTCCCTTTAGTTTGGCCGATCGTTGCTATGCGTTGTGTATTTTCTTGGTTCTCTGCTGTCTGCCCCCAACTTTAATTATCATCGCCATTGTAAAATGACTGGGTAAATGAATTCCCTGTTCGTATTTGGAAAGGGTGTGTGGCAGTTGTTGAATGTGTAGTCTATTTCCACTTGCTAGGGAATAGCTCTGCTGGGTTTCTGTCAATTTTAAAGCAAGGTGACTCCTCTCCCATCATTTCAAATAACTTAGAAATGCACTCCTTCGGTTTGAGATTGGGTTTGTTTGGGTGTTTGTTTGTTTTTTAAACTTTTGCCACTGAGTAAGGCCAAGTAAGGAATGTTAAAAATCTACTCACATTTGTGCGAATCAGTGTCAGGAAAAAAGCAATCATAAAAGAGATTGAAGATGCAAAGTCAAACTCAGGAAACGCAGGAATGGAAATTGTCTAGTTTTAGTTTTATCCTTCACGCCATATGTAGTATGATGCCACCTCTAATCATGTCACCAGGGCTCTATTTGCCATTGTGTATAACTGATAAGTCACTTAGTGTTTTCCTTGCAGTTCTGCTGCTATTCTAATTCTCAAAATTTAGGTCTACAATTAGTACTGAAGCTAGAGAAGGAACTTTGCTGTGTGGACTTGGTCCTGCACAGAAGAAATAAGTAGGAATTTTGCTATTCATTTGGTATAGGAACTACTCACAGACATTTCATCACAAATCTTCCCTTTAAAACAAGTTTTAATGTTCTGATTCATTTACCATCAAAATACTGAATTGATGTTACTTAATTTAAATCCAGTTTTGTTGACATAAAACTTTCCAGTGGCTTATTCTGGTTTAGCCTTTGGTTTCCTTTTATGTCTTCCTTTCTGTACAGCTGAATGAGCCAGTTATTTCTGTCCCTGCAAATAGGAATATTAGTTGTTTACAGTAATTCCAGTCATACAAGGACACAATTAAACATCCTTGCCTTTGCAGGACAAGCTCATTTTAGCAGTGATTTACAACTACATTCTATTTTAAAATTTTCATAAGAACATACATAGTCAACAACTTAATGCAGTCAAAAATAATATTTTTTTTTTTTAAATATGGGGTTTTTTCCTACAAGGAGCAGGGAATACCAAACTAAATAAAACTATTGAGTAAATGGGGGAAGGGGGGGGGGGGGGAGGGCAAAGCAAAACAGTGGTTTATCTTTCTTTGTCAAAACAAAGCTGAATAAGAAGCTTGTGCTACTGAAAGTTTGGCTGGTGTTACAGACACAGGGGGAGGGCCCTTTGCTTAAAGACAGAAGAACAGTCATACAGTTGCTCTCATTGATTCCGCCCCCTGCAGAAAATTTTTGGCATTCTTCAACAAAACCCACGAAAACACCTACGTCAAAAAGTTAATTGGGTTTCAAAATCAAATACCTAAAGGTCAAGAAATGCCACATGTATATAAATGGCCAGAAGAATTCAAATTCTACCTCTCTGTGCCCCCAGCCTGCTGACTGAATGCAGAGGAGTTGTGTTAGAAACAAGCAAAACCTCTCAATTATGTGAGCACGTAGCTGAAGATTAGCAGTGACCCTTCTGCTCTCAGGAAGGTGGAATTACACTTCGATTGGCTTCAGTTACTCACATGTTTAAAAGAAGGTTCGCCTCTAATTGAATTATCATGTAGCCTTTTACCGTGACAACTTGCATCTAGTTTCCTCATGGTCCAATGTGCGTTTTATACAGTTTGTAAGCCATGGGACACAGGATCTGTCACTCCTATTTGCTTCTGAACAGCTAGACCTAGCTACGGCACTGTGAAAATCATCAATCGCTCTTGAGCTACTTGGGACCTAAAGAAGGATGTTGACACCGTGTTACCCTCTACGGGTCTAGAGGTACAATAGGCTTTGGCAGCGTCCTTTGTATCAGCTGGGCTTTCTTAAGCTCCATGAAATTGCCTGAATCCGGGACAGCGATGCTGCGTATGGCATTTGCCAAGTCAGCGGCGTTTGTCTGTGGAGCGCTGTGGGACGTGAGTGCTCGGCTGCTCAGGATGCTCAGCACACAGCTGAGTGCCTCCCGTGGCCTTGCTGCCCGCTTTCAGTCTTGGGCTCCTGAGAGTGGCAACCATTTTATTTGTCTATCTTCTGTGGGCTTAAATCGACTAAACAAACTGGTTTAAAGCTATTTTGGCATATTGAAAGCTTAAGCTACAGCGATGTTGTTTCTCTGGTGGCGTAGATAGGTGTGAATAGACTGTGGATTTCACAAAGGTAATACCTGTTATTAGAAGCTCTTGCAGGATCCTGGAAATGACTGCCCAGCACCCTAATTTACCTTGTTAAATAAGACTGGCATTTCTGTGAGCTGTCAGAAATACATGCCAGCAGATAGACACCGCGACAGACAGCCAAGAAACCATCTATGGGCATCAAACATACCAGAGGGCAAGGATGGCAGTTGGGAACGTAACCTCCTGAAGTTGT